AATAATAAATAATAATAATAATAAATAATCGGAGCATTTATTGGTTTCAAGGCAATTTATATAAAATGATAACATTAAAATTGTGATAAAACCATTGAAGTAAAAGACGCAATAGGTGCGGACAAAGAATCACAGAACACGAGGCAGAGAGATCCACACATCACATCCACTCTTTGTCACTGTCTTCCGACATGCAGACGTTGAACCAAAGCATTAGCCTGGTTGACCATCACCTTCCTGATGTAGAATGTGCTCAGGAATGTGGGGTTTGTGAACCTTGGGAGGAAGAGAACATTTCCTCCAAAGGATTTCCACATTCAAAGCCAACATAATGTTTCTTTCCAAAGTGCCTTCGTAGGTCCACAAAGGCTGAAGTCAACAGTAGAGCTCTCCCTATCCTATGAATCTCCGAATGTTTTCCTCCCAGGAGAGATATTCAGATGTCATTTCAGAAGTTTAAAGTCATTTTGCCAAATCTTCAGACTTTCTGCTCTCTGTGCATATGCTGATGTGTGATGTTGTGGTTTTTGCAAGCAAGTTTTCCCCCACATTCTCTCCATTTTAGACGTTCTAAGGGGAGTGAAAATTTTATGTTCTCTCAGATTGAACGAGAGAAATCTTTCCGCACATTCCTCACACTCATGTGGTTTCTATCCAATATGAAGTTGTTGATGTGCTGTGAAGGGTAACTCGGCTGTGAAACTAATCCCAGATTCTTCACAATGTTAGGGTTTCTCCCCTGAATGTGAACGCTGATGTATGGTTAAATTGCAGAGACGTGTGAAACATTTCCCACATTCATCGCATGGATAAGATTTTTCTCTGGAGTGAATTCGTTGATGTACTGTGAGGTAAGAGTATAGGGAGAAAAATTTCCCACACTCTTCACACTGATAAGGTTTCTCTCCTGTATGAATTCTCTGAGGTGCTCTAAGATCTTTGCTCTGGTTGAAGTTTTTCCATATTTTTCGCACCAATAGGATTTCTTCCCTGAATGATGGCACTGATGTACTTTGAAAGCTGACAGATCACTGAAACATTTCCCACATTATTTGCATATATAAGGTATTTCCCCAGAGTGAATTTGTTGATGTATGGCGAGGTTTGAACAGTAGCCAAACTGTTTGCCACATATTTCTATTGATAGGATTTCTCCCTTAAATGATGACGCTGATGTGCTTTCAAAGATGCAGGAGCAGTGAAGCATCTCCCACATTCATCGCATGCACACGGTTTTTCTCCTGAGTGAATTCGTTGGTGTACTACAAGGTTGCACTTTCGGGAAAACATTTTCCCACATTCTTCGCAGGGAAAGGGTTTTTCCCCTGAATGAATTCTTTGATGTTCTACAAGATGTGAGTGTTTGGTGAACCTCCTCTCACATTCTTCACAGGGAAAGGGTTTCTCTGCTGTATGAATTTGTTGATGTTCTCCAAGACTTGACAGCCACATGAAGCCCTTTCCAGATTCATGACATTTGTAGAGTCTCTCCTCACTGTGCATTCCCTGATGTTGTTTAAGTCCAGGCCTTCCCTTGAAGCTCTTGCCACAATCTTCACCTTTATACAATTTTCCTTCTGAGAGCACAGGCTGAGTGACTTGAAGAGCTGATCTAACACTGAAGCATTTTTCAGACCCTGAGTCTTCATAAGGTTTCTCTCCTGTGGGAAATCCTCGATCTTCTGGGCTCCTTCTGGAACTCTCTCCATGCTCCAAACAGTGACACAGACTTTCCTCTGAGTGGCATGTTGGACATTTCACTGGGCTTTTCCTCAGAGGGCTCTTTAGCCCAGACTCTGAGCTCTGAAGGACATTGAGGCACTTGTTTATTATCTTTTCCTCTTCTACTTGACAGACAACTCCTCTCAGATAAGGGTGAGGTTTGTTTTTCCTCTCATTTGCCTCATTTTCCTTCTGCCTTCGTGATTCATCTCTAATCGCACAGTTCCCGTTTTCATCCTCCACTCTTTCTGGGGATGTCCTGTGGAGTTTTCCTTCCTCCTCCTGTACATCATCTGCTGGAGGAAGGAGAGAATTCCTGATGATTAGAGGCTTTTGCCATTTAACATGGAAAATATCTATCGATAAATCCAATTTCCTGATGCCTCCCTTTCTGTGCTGAGGAAACAGTTGATCACCTGGGTTTCAACCTTCTTAACCATCAGAAGTCTGAGGATTTTAAGGAATCAGTTTTCCGTCTTAGTGCTACAAACTGTATTTAGAAGTGGCATAGGAACTAGAGACCTAATTGCTAACATGCGCTGGATTATGGAGAAAGCCAGAGAGTTCCAGAAAAAATAATTTTGGGGTGATTTCTATAACCCCTTATAATTGTTCTAACACTTTTGAACATAGAAGGTAGCAAATTCTGAGAAAAAGTTACAAAGTCCCATGAGCTATCATGGGGGATCGAACCATTGAATTCCCGGTCCACACTCCACTCACTGGTTTCTCCATCCTGAAAGTTAAAAAAAAACCCTCTTTTCTTCATGATTGGACTTTTTGAATTTGCAAAAGGAGAGAATTCATGATGATGAGAGGATTTTGCCATTTAATGTGGAAAATATCTATCGATAAGCAAATTTCCTGCTCCCTCCCCTTTCTCTGCTAAGAAAACAGTACATCACAATTGTATTACTGAGTTGAGCAGGAGGTTGGAATTGATGGACATGATTCTATGATTCGTGACCTGGGTTTCAACCTTCTTGACCTACAAAAGTCAGAGGATTTTGAGGAATCAGTTTTCCAGTCTGTAGCGGGTACCCCAGTCAGCACCTGTCCGTCACCAGGGTACCTTGGCAGGAGAGCCAATGAGAAGGACAGAAGGTGGGAGCAGGAGAGAAGGGCGTACAAAAGGAGGAGTCTGGAGGAGACAGGCAGTTCAGTTCAGTTCTGTGTTAGATTAGACTTCTGTGTGAGGTTCTGGAGGAGTGTGAGATTAGATTAGAAGTTCTGTGTGAAGCTCTGGACGAGTGTGAGATAGGAGGAGTGTGTGAGAGAGTAGTAGTGTGAGACGGAGAGAGTATAGTGAAAAGACAAATATAAAGGTTCAGATCAGAGGTTCAAAGGACATTGATTGAGGTAGATTGAAATCAGAGATTGGGATATATATTAAAGTAACAGAAGAAGTTAAATACAGCCTAGTTTATATACTGTATGTGATTTGCTTCCTGTGATTGACACTGTTATTTTCAACCAATCATTAACCCCACCCTAATAAATAAACTTAATGCGTTTGTTAACTGGTGTGTCCTTGAATTAATTGATGTTTAAAATAAAACATATGGTGGCAGTGTGTGAGAAGATAGATACAGCTTGAGTCTTTGTGAGGAACCAGAACATAATATGGGTCACAGAGACGGAGGTGCATCACACAGTCTCAGTGCTAAAACTTTTAGGTGGACCTGAACAAACAATGAACGGAATAGCTGAGCACTGAAGTCCAAGAACATTTATTCTGCATGGAAGAGGAATGTAAAAGAGGGTGGAAGTGCAAAAGGTCCTGTCAGGAAGAAAAGTGTTTTTCTAAACCAGATATAGCTGGATGGAGAGATCAGTGAGTGGAGTGTGGCTCTAGAGTTCAACGGTTCGATCCCGCAGGATGCCCCTTCGTCCTCTGTAATCTTTTCTCAGAATTTGCTACCTTTTCTGTTCAGGAGCATTAAAACTATCATAGGGGTGAGTAGAAATCCCCATCCCAGTTACCCTAAAAGAAACACAGTTTTAAACAGATGTCATGAAGGCATTGTTTACTAGAAGTGTTCTGAAAACAATGAATCAGCGACTACACCAGAAAGATCACAATATGAAAACAATTTTTGGCAAACTCCTGTTCTGTTTTGCTTCCAATCCATACATAAGAGGGAGGCATAAAAACAGTAAACACTGAACCTTGGGAAAGCAAGAAGGAGTTGATTTACGCATCCAACCCAAAAAAGGCGGGGAAAGGTAAATCATCTCTGAGTATCCTTACAGCACATTAAAAAGATGAAAAATCAACTTAACTGAGGCATTGTCTAAGGTACATTGCTGGTGCAGTAACACAATTAGAAGGAATCGGAGGTTACACATAAATCTATTATAAAACAGAGAAGCGATGAGTGGTAATCAAGACAAACGTATACAATGATTAACATGCAGAGGGAAACAGAATACCTTTGTCCCGACTCCAAGGAGGAAAGTCTCCCTGATTCCTCTGTAGAAGAGAATCCATGCCCTGAAGATATGGAGAAGCCTCCAATATACCTGCTCCATCATCCTGGGTCCTTCGGGGTCTCCAGCTGCTGCTGCTCACCCTCAAGAAGAGTTCCTGGCCTTCCAGGTATGCACCAAGCGTTTGTCCTCATGGGCCACCTGGGACAACAGAGGAGAGGAGTTCTAGGAGTACAATCCTGTCCCCGAGCCTAGTCTTGGTTAAGCAATACCATTGCTTTGCATGGGACAATCTCATCCAGCTGCTTCTTTTGTCATTGATCGCACTGTGTGATGCTTATATGGTGCCCCAGAGCATTCAAAGCACTCTCTGAGATGATGATAATCCTGCAGGCTACATATCCCCACCCCCACGCCACCCCTGTGAGCTGAGATACTCAATTTTCCAACCCCAGAAGGACTGAAGGCTGAGTCAGCCTTGACTCATTGAATTGAACTCGAGTCATGAGCAGAGTTTTGGCTGCAGGACTGCGGTTTAATCACTGCACCACGAAGCTCACTATCTAAACCCACTGAAACAAGCCAGTCCAGAGTTGCCATTTGAAATTTATGGGCCCCATCTCCCAGAACATTCCAAGAGTCCCTCCCCCACCCCCAAAATCTTGGGAATCCCAGTCCACAAACTCATACCGTCGGATGCCTGTATTTCCCTCACCTGAACCAGCTCTTCTGAGGCTGCATTCTAGACCTTTATTTGGGGCTGCATTACTTCCTGGGAGTCACAGTGCTTTGGGAGGGGCCCATTGTGGAGGTTAAAAGGCAAGATACTATAATACCCAGAAAAGAAATGGGGCAGGAAACTGAGGCCTGGAAGCCACCCTCCATTGACTAGTCTTCGAGGGAAATGTAAGTGCTTGAAGATGTGGGTCTGCAGCTCAAAATTCCACCCGGGGAATTTTCAAAGAATTCGAGGAGATGGA